TTAATGGTTGTATTTTGAGCTATATCTTGAGTAATTTGACAAGATTTTGGCTAAAAATTTTTAAGAATATGTATTATCATGTTACTAAATTTTATACACAAATTTTATGGCATTTGGATTTTAGGTTTTTGAGATATGAAGAAAATAATACTTAAGTGCTTATAAATTAGGATTTAAAGTACCTGCTAGGATTTCTAAGATATCAAATTTTTTATAGTAGATTTATAATTTTTTTAATGATAAAGCTTAAGATAAAATCTATACTATTTAAAAATTTGAAAAAAAATGAATAATTGGATCAAAAGATATGAGTTTTTTAAGTTTGGAGATAAAAATTATTGTTGGAGAAATATATTTTAAATGAGTTTTGCTACAATTTGTATATTTTACACAAAGTAAAGGGATTTTTGGGAGCCAAGACTTTAAATATATGTTAAAGGTAGAGATATAGAGCTATGGCAAAATTATAGCATAAAGATAGATTTTTGTAAAAAGATTATGGAGTTTTTTTAACCTTATTTAAAACCAAATTTATCAAAAAATAATTATTTATTATTTGGTATAGCAAAGGATGTTAGGATATTTTAAGATGCTTTAAAAAGCCTTTTATATAAATATTTTTAAATATAAAAGATTTTTATCATTACAATATTTTTCTTTATTGCTATATTTATTTATCTTCTATAATAGGAATAAATTATTTATTGGACCTTGACCAATAAGTTAAAACTCAACTTTCTATAGTTAGGTACCTAATATATTCTTAAATAGAAAATCATGCCATACGACAACATGTCTCTTCTTGAGCCATATAAGACAGTGAATATCTTAAGAAGAAGACAAATGCCACCTCCTCCTATAGAAACGAATAATAATCAAGAGTTTAAGGTCGAAGAAGTCTTAGATTTAAGGAAACATTAAAATAGATTAAAATATCTTATTTATTAGTATAGATATGATATTAATGAATGCACATAGAAGCCAACAAAGAATCTTACAAATACAACAAAGAAGGTTGAGACTTTTCATCATCTATCAAAACCAAGATAAAGAATAACAAGATTTATGAAAGATGATGACTATTCCTTATAGAACTCGTCCCTAGAAGGAGAGGTAACTCCACAGACATACATATTTATTCCAATAATTATCTATATGATTAGGTAGAAATAGATAAAAATAGATTTATTTTATAATAAATTCTAAAAAATCTTCTTAAAAGTTTCATTGATGAGGTTGATTTTACACATGTTTATAATTTATTGGTAAGTTAGAAACTTAGTCAACAAATTAACCACCACTTGATAGCTTGTGGAACAAGCTAATTATATAGCATACATATAAAAAAATTATCTTAAAAATTAAGATATAAGACTTACAAATTCAACACATATTCAAAGTCCTATAAAACATTGCTATATAGCTCTTTGTTAGATAGTATATATAGAGGCAAAAGTGAAGCCTTCTTCACTCTTATCAATGTCTTTTTAGTCCTTAATCTTTTTTCAAGGCTTTCTAGTCTTCTTGCCTTTGGCAATAGCCATTCTAATTCAATATATTATTATTTTTGAGTGATTTCTTAGTCTTTTCAAGTAACACAAGAATGTATTGAAATTTTTATTTTTTGAATTTTTTTAAATAATTTTATTATTTCTTATGTAGATAATATTTTAATCTACTTTAGAAATATAAAAAAACATAAATTTTATATTTTTTTTATATTACTTAAAAATATAGGACTATATGTCAAGATAGAGAAGCATGTATTTCACACAATTCAAGTTGACTTCTTAGGATATATTATCATAAATGATTTCCTTATGATGGATCCTATAAAAGTACAAATTATCATAGATTGGAATTTTTTAAGATTAATACAAGTTGTTCAGTATTTTTTAAGGTTTGCAAATTTTTATAGAATATTTATTAAAGAATTTTTTCAAGTTGCAGTCCCACTTAAATATGTAAAATATAAAAAAAAACTTGAAAATAATAAAGAAATTAAAGCAACATTTAAAGCTCCAAAGATAATTTTTACTTCTATATCAATCTTATATTGTATTAATTTTTTCAAGACATTTTTAAAAAAAAAAAAAAACACACACATTAAACTTTATCTTAAATGTGGTATTATCACAAATAGAAGCAAATAACAAACTTCATTCAATAGCTTTTCAATTAAAAAAAAATAGCATTTAAGTTCAATTACAAAATCCACAATAAAAAACTTGTAGTTATTGATTCATTTTAAGATGGGCATTATTATTTAAAAGGCGCTTCTAATCCAATGACTATTTATATAGATCATAATAATTTCAAGTACTTTATGTCAAGATATATTTTGAATTGTTGTTTAGCATGTTGGACCATGTTCTTGTTAAGATTTGAATTCAAGCTCATTTTTTGACTAAGAAAATAAGATTTGTTAGATGTCTTTTTTAGATGTTCTTAATTTGTGCCAAAAAAAGAAATTATATTTTTTAATCAATAAAAAATATTTTTTTTAAAAGTCAATATTAATTATTAATATAATATTTTTTAATAAAATTTAATTAAGTTTATTTTTAGATATTTTTTTATGATATTAAAAAAATAAAATAAAATAAAATAAAAAATATGATACTTTTAAGTCTAAATTCAACAATAATCTATTTTATTTTGAAAGAAGCTCATATATTCAAGAAGATATAGCATAATTATTTATTCTTTAAACTCATCATAAAAAAATTATAAGACATTTAGAATATAAGAAGATCTTAGAATTAATCTTGAAAAAAAATTGATGGCCTCAAATGTGGAAGGCAGTTAAAGACTTTATACAATCATATGATATTTTTTTTAGGTCAAAAACTCCTTATCATTGATCTTATCAACTTCTTCAACTATTATATATACCTAAACAACTAAGGACTTAATTTTTATGGATTTTATCACAAATCTTTCAATTTCAAGTACTTATGACTCTATATTTGTGATAGTAGATTATCTCAGTAAGATGATACATTGTATACTATGTACAAACTCTATTACAAGTGAAGAAATAACTAAAAAAATTTGACAATATTTATTGCTATCATAGATTACTAAAAAATAAAATATCTATAGAAGGACCTAATTTTTATTAAGGTTTTGAAAAATTCTTTTTAAGATATTGAAGGTGGATATAAAAATATCTTTGGCTTTCCATCCTCAAATTTTTGGACAAACAAAATAAATAATTCAAATATTAGAGTAATATTTAAGATACACTATCAACTATTATCAAGATGATTGGACAACTTTGTTGCATTTAGCAAAGTTTTCATACAATAATATAGTATATTTTTTTACTTAACAATCATCCTTCCATATCAACTATAAATATCATCCATGATTTGATACTTTTGACTTTTCAAAAGTAGATAATCTTATGACAAAAGATTTAGCAAATTATTTGCCTGAGTAAAGATAGTTAAAAAAAGCTCAAGAACAACATAAGATCAATACAGATGCCTATTGTAAGAAAATCTTCAATTCCACATTGGCAATAAAGTATGGTTATTTCATTGTAATATCAAGACTATTTATCTTTATGACAAGTTAGATTACCATAGACTTCAACCATTCCCTATTTGTAAATAGATCAATCAAGTTGTAGTATATAAAAATGATTTTATTTAACTTATGTATAATTTATTTGTTCAACAAAATCATTTTATTTTTTAAAAAAACAAAACAAAACAAAACAAAAAAACTTGTGAATTTTAAAATTTGCAATAAAATTTGTATTTTTTTCATAAAATATCCATTATAAAAATTTTAAAACTTATCAAAAACTTATGTGTGTATATAAACACACTTTCACACACACACACACACACACAAACATATATATAGATATCTATATATATATATATATATATATATATACACAAACATACATACATGCCAACACTAAATAATTAAAAAAATCTCCCAATTTATAATGCATGTGAAAATTCCTTAACTTCATTCTAATTCTGATCACAAAATTGATTGATTGTTCTGCATCAGGTTGCATAAGCTGTGCCCTTACATCCCGGCAGCAGTGTGTTGAGCGTGGGAAATCTATTGCAACCAGCCTTGCAGCCAATCTCAAAATTATACTGCTGCAGTCTCCAGATTCTGCCCCACATGGTACTTCACCGAACTCATTCCTGAACTTTGTCCTGGTTGCACTGAAGTTACTGAAGAAGTCAGGAACGAAACAGTTGATCAACTGAGAACAAACTTCACCAAGGTTACCTGCATGAGCATGTGCTCCGGCTGAACCGTTCCAAACAATCTGAGCACTTTAATCAAATGATTCATCAGGGACGGCAGGTCACACGGGACTGTGGTTGACATGATAATAAGCAGGCAAATTGGTAGGTATTGTGCAGCTGAAGTTGGGTTATAGGAGGATGAAGGGGGAGGTGTGTGCAGGCGGTAAGAAAGGAACACTTCGGAAAATTACTAATGTGGTAAGCGAGAATTGTTGATGTGATGGTGTATTTTAAATACAAGATGCTTTGAGCACCATTTTTGTGTGGAGACAGAGCTTTATATTGCACATGGTCTGTATATTCCTCAAGATGTGAAGATACGATTAGCGCTGCAGAAATTGCTAGAATTCCAGCCAAATTGGGAATCTTACAAAAATATTCATCCAATCATATATCGTGTTATTGAACAGCATATCTAAATGAAGGTTGGCCGCAGCAGAAATAAAATTCAGCAAACTCAAACATCTTCCAACCACCAACAGGACTGCACAACCCTCAACCAGAAAGCTGCGACACATGCAATGCTTAATTTGCACTTAATGGTCGAGTTCGTGTATCAGCAATGAGAACCCTCAGCAATCGCGAAAAGTTAACAACAATCACTGAACACTCATCTAGATTCACCTACTACGAAGATGGAAAATGAGGAAGAAGAGCACCAAGCTTAGAGGACTTACTACCAATACAAAACAAAAGCTGCAAAGAGACTCTAATGGGTTTGTTTCTGGAAATCAGCCCGGAAGTCGCAGCGCATGGCGACAACGCCTGACCAAATGCCTTTTAGAACTTGTTTGGCAATCAATCATTGTACAAGTTTTCAACTCACAAGCTAGACATACATGATGTGCTTGATCGAACAGAAACCACCTACAAGTACCTGACAGCAGAATATGAATATAATACAATCCTTCAAGTGGACAAAAAAATCATGAAAGTTTTGCGTGAATATTTTGGCAAACTCACCATACCCGCTAGGCTATCCAAATCCAATATACAAGCTCGAATATTTTATGCACAACAGATTTCCATCTTCAGGTCTGCTGCAACGCAGCATCTCAATGCCTTCCACCCCGATAGTTCTCAAAAAGTAAATGTCTGCTAGTTTGTCAAGAAACACATGAAAACAAGAATTCACATATTGATGGTGAGCTTCAGTTTTAGGCACCATTGTGTCAACCATCAGTGATAAAAAGGAACAAGCAGAAAATGAGGTCTAAGGACAAAGGTTAGCGTCACCAGCCCAAAAAGACATGTATACCAAGCTCTAGCTTAAAACCAATACCAATTCTGGTCAGACCTGGCTGGAAAAAATGAATTTTTAACAAGCTTCTCAAAGTAAATGTTTATTGAAGAAAGGATACTTCGAAAACTCCAGATGATGAGAGATGATCCCACTCAGAATAAGCTCTGGTTTGTACACTTTGGCTCCTGCATGCGAGCAGGAACGAAATCAGGTCATTGTATCAGGAAGTAAAAAGACCAAATCATGCCTTCAAAAAATTCATCAAAGCTTGAAAGCTACAATCACATCGATGGTAAAACCTAAGATGTTAGTGCCCGCTGACAAGATATCAAATAAAACAGCTGGACTGACGGACAAATGTTACTGATCTAGTTGCTAAAATCTCAAGGCAGAAAATTAAAATTATTCTTCTGAGGTGGAAGATGGGAACCTTGCTCAAGTAATGGGGCACAGCTGTCCATGTCGTCCTCATTTGCTAGAACAATGCAGAAGCCTTCATTCTGAGAATCTGGTGGTGCAGGGCCTTTGTACTCCTCCACGACCTGCAAGTCGAGAAAACAAAATTCTTTGTAAACCACCCTCCACTCCTTATGTTGGGCCAGACTGGTTAGCATCAATAAAAACGATACTTAAAGTTATAAGCCGAAAAATGTAACTTTAACATTAAAAAAGTGGTTAACTGCTACCGATAGTGAAGTTTGGATTGTGGGGAAAATGGTGAACGTCTTGTTTTCTTCCTTGTTCATTCTTCCTGACTCCGTAACTTTTATTCCTTCCCAAGAAGGATAACTACATCTATCTAACAAATCGAAACGGTGGCACTGAAAAATAGGGGGGAAAAAATAACGCAAACAATCATAAACGAGGTAATTTCTTACTTGACCACCAGCAGCATGAACTATGGAAGTTAGAACTTGAGGCGCTGGGTTGATATTAGGGGTCAACAAAACTCTGACTCCCTGCAATAAAGACTTTTGTTGAGCAGCCAAAATTGTGGCACGCATTGAGAAACCCAACTCCCTCTCCTTCCTTTCATCTTGCAGAATGAAGTTCCTCTCCTCAATGAAACAGTTTGCTATCCGGCAGCTTTCCAACCATGCAAATGTGACTACGAACTTTCCTCCTGCCATGGCTTCGAGCATGTTACCGGTTCTCACAAACTTATCTGCTACAAAATGGGTACAATCAGCAGCCTTTCTTGTGACTTTTCCATCCAGCTTTTCGACAATCTGTGCCAAAAAAAGGAACACTATTTCAAATTTCGGGTTACTCGCGTGCCATCCATAAAGAGAGATAAGTTACCCAGGATAAGAAAGTCAAAATGAACTGAGTAAAAATAAGAAAGGCAGTAAGTGTATCTGCAGGATAATGGTACAAACCTTTCGTTGTTTCTTCAGGGTGACTTCCGACAACCCATGACTAAACAACACTGAAACATTTTTCACCCATCGAGTTCGCAAACTCCCTTCTGTACTTACAGAAGCACTTTCCTCTTGAACAAACTCGGAAGCTTTCTCTGGTGCCAATGTTGGCATTTGAGGAGCTCGTCTCCTGCGTACTGTCCTCATGCGTGTCCCCCTAGTTGCTGCGGGTACCACAAATGATGGATTGGAGCACTGCATGACTCCATATTCAACAATTTCAGGTTTCAAAGCTGCACCCCGTCCTCTTCTTCCAGTGACCAGGGGAAAGGATGCCGGCTGCAGTACTGGTGTAGAGGGTCTAGACACATCTGCAATACTTTTGGTCCGTTTCAACTTCATACGACCAACATCATAATCCTCAAATGGTTCGTCCATATGACTAGCTCTCTGATCCGAAGTCTCTTCCAGATGATCTGGGCTACTACCGTCATTCACCTCCAGCTCGTCATTATTGCTATCGCGTTGAAAAGATCCAGAACATGTACCAGCACTTGCATCCTGTTCGACTTCTTTATCCATATCGTTTCCATCATCTATTAACGTGGTTATAGGTGCTCCCTGGCCTCCTCTGGAACTTCTTCTAGCACTCCGCAACTTCTTCTGGACCAGTGCAATTGAAATGGACTCCGTGCGGTTGTCAACATTGGGTCTTCTGCGCAATTGTCTTAGGCTTTGAGTCTTGACCCCTTCCTCACCACGAATAACACCCATGTCATCAGTCCCAATCAAGAGGTTCGAGGCTTCTGATAACTTCCTTCGTTTCCTCTTTTGAGGCATTTCTGGTTCCACAAGTGCACTCTCTCCATCCTTATCATTTTCTGCGTCTTGAGGGGTTATCTGCTTTCGTCGCCCACTCGAGGGTTTTTCAGCGACGACAAACTGCAAAACAGCCAATCATCCGAGAAACCATCAAAAACCTATATCACAGGTGTACGAAATACAAACTTGCGCAGACAAGAATTCAACAAACATTGCTTCACATACCATTGGATCAGCTCCACTGCATGCAGGACTTGAAATGTTATCCATATTCTCATTGGCATCATCTTGATCATCAACATTTTCTTCAAACGTAGACTTTACTTTCTTGGCACTTCGCGCCCCAAGCATGATATTCACACTTCTCCTTTTTCTAGCTGCAGACGTATCTTTTTCCATTTTACAATCCGTGTACAATTTTCCCTTGGGTGAAAGATAATTTCCTGAAAGGAGTACTGCCTCTGCATCACGAAGACATCTTCATTTGTACGTACCAATTAAATTATTCAAAATTCCTTGTGTGCCCGTTAAGCTGGTCACTTCTGCATTAAATTACTGCAAACTAAGACAGCAATTACCATCACACCAACGTGCTCTGTCAGATGCAACATATTACGAATGGGTTGACTTGATGCGTTTGCTTAAATCCATTGGTCTTATAAAACATTGGTTTGGGCTCTCGCCGATCGTGAAAAAATTGAAACTTATCATCGAAAAATCAACGTCCTTGAGATGCTCAGTGCCACTCAGCAAAACTAAATGTCCCAATCTCAAATAAAAAGGGGGAACGGCATAACAAGTAGATCATGCGAAATAGTTGGCAGGCTAGCATCCCCCACGAACCTGGAACGCGAATGTGCTCACGCCTGTTCCTGCCCTCCGACCTCCTCCTGGTCAAAATTTCTGCTCTATCAAGAACTTTTTTTTCTTTATCTTCATAGTCTCCATCATGCTCCATTACTTCATCGGACCTCAATACTCCAGTGTTAGAAAACTTCTGCATCCCATTAACCACAACATTCAGAAGACCATCGTCAGCGACTTCTACAGGTTCAATTGATTTTCCTTTCGTCCTCTCCTTCTCTTTGGCAATAGAGAGTGTTGCAGAACTCTTCGTTATTGCAGCGTCGAGACTTGCTTCATCCTTATCCTGTGGTAGACTTCCCGACACACGCTTTGTGCTAGCCGCATGAAACAGCATTTTTGGATCATTGATTTTCTCGCGATCATTATCTGTTAGGAGCTTACTCAACCTTTGCCCTTCAGGTAACAAATCAGTCTCCTTTTCTTTGCCTTTCCTTGCTATTGATTCAAGATGATCCTGCTCTGCTTTCTTTTTCCACCCAGCTTGAATTTCCTTAATAAGGCTCAAATTACCGAGTGTTTGTGGACGCTGTGCAACTATAGAATCCTCAAATTCAAATACTTGCAAAGCCGGGTTCGTAAAGGTGGAGGAAGCTAGTGGAAAAATGGAGGACTTCTTATATTTTCTTGGAGGTGATGCTTGAGATGCATCAGCAGTGTTTAACCACACAAACTTGTCCACAATATCCAATGCTTCAGCTTGTACCGCTTCGCCTGGTTCCTGGAATTGGAAAAGTAAATGAGAGTGGAGAGTAAGATCTTCTCAGGAAGGATCATTCCTACAACTGTAATGTGCGCATGAGAACTTCTTGAATAATGCATCACGGACAACTAGGATATGCGGCTGCTCCATGTGGATAGTTTGAGGAGATCACTTGATTTGATATGTTCGCTAACGCAAATCACAATTATTTTAGGGACACATTCGTAATTTTAAAAATTTGTGATTAGGTTCAAGATAAAATTAAACCAATTCCTACGAATCAAAACTATAAAGCAACTGATATACACTTGAAGGTAGACAAGAGAAGTACCACAGAGTCCAAATAGTTCATGCTGCCTGTCGGAGATAATAACCTTGGCCCAAATGAGATTCGACGCTGCAATGGAATTTGCGAACCACTGTTCTCGCATCCAAAATTACTTTTAGTGTCATAATTCGCACTTTGAGTCTTAGAGGATCTAAAGAGAGAACTGATGCCAGAAAAACAGGCCTGTTTACCAACATCATCCTGTTCTGTCATCTGCCCTTCCCCACTGGTGAGCATATTGGTAGCCTTGCTGTCCTTAGAAACAAACGGATCTGGTACAGATACTCTAGAGCTTGACCCCAGAGCACTTTTTCTTTGATCCCAATTATTTTGCATTAGTAGGTCTCCTCTACCTGCATAATCTCGCATCCACTCTGGCTCATTTGAAGGGAGCTCTATCTTGTTAATACACTTGCTAGCCTCCCTTCTGTTCCTGAATGATTGGATGGCTTCAGAGTTTGGAAAATTATAATCATCGGGTTTCACTTTGGGAAGCCATTGCAAGGGCTCTACAGCTGCCATTCGCATAGACTCGGCACGAACTGTGCCAGTACTGTTTTGGAAAGGTGAACTTTCTGAAGCCTCAGATACTGATGGAGCTGCTAATACCTTACTCTCAGTAGTGATACTCGGTAACTCCAGACGAGAGGAAGAGGGTGTTTTAAGTCCTGCACATTGCATCAAAATCTGCATACTTCCAGTGCTTACTGGCATAAAGGGTTCGCAGCTTTTGGATTCAAAAGCATCTTTTGCTTCACAGGGCATGTCCTCGGAATCAGTGGGCGCAACCTTAATTGAAATGCTACAAATGTTATCAAGCAACTCCTTTCCAATTGCCGAGACTAACTGGGTGTTACCTTGCCAACCGTGAAAATCATCAACCAATTGTGTCTCAGTGTGTGCAACCAGTTGGGAGTCAGAATTCCTCGGTTTTCCATAATACTCGCAATCTGTGTCCTCCTCGAGTCTGACATTGAGGTCCATTTCAAATCCACACATCCGTGCTTGACGAAATTCTGAACTTGGTTTCTGTTTGCGCGGCGCTTCCTGCTTGTCTAACAAGACAAAGCAAAGAACCAAATGATTTTCAAAGTACACTTGAACAAGGATGAATATGCAGACCTAACAAAACTTCTGTAAACGGGGTTGTTACTGTTTCTAACCATAACGTACATAATCTTTACTTTTCTAAACTGAAAACAATCGCATCTGGTCAAACCGCGCTCTGATTTAAGATTATCAATTCATCCGTGAACGAAAAATTAGCTCAGTAGGGGAAGATCATTATGGGTTTTACAGGACCTCTTTACCATAATAAGATAATGAATCACGTCGATAACTTTAAATAATATTTCAGTGCCTTACCCCGCGTGGAGATGGTGCCTTCATCTTCCGTACTCGCATCTGAATCGATAACCTCGGTTGGTTCTGCCTCGTCCGCGGTACCAGCATATAATCCAACTCCATCATGCTGCAAGTTTTTCAAACCTACACATTTCAGTTACATATATTTGTCAATTGAAGTAAAATAAATGTGTCTGTACGCATCAATAACTTGCAAAATATTGCTTTTACATTAGTACTATTGCCTTATGTGGAAGTCTAAGTGAAAAATTACAAGATTCTTAAATCTCAACGAGTCACTTCAAGAACGCGGAAGCTTAGATAACTTATAAACAGAAATCGGAGATAAAAATGAGATCTCTAATACAGAAATGTTTATATGAAACGAATATAAGAAACACGGGCGGAAGTGATTGGTAATACCGCAAGGAAAATCTCACCAAGAGTTGATCATTTACAATAATTTAAGAAGATATTCAACTAGTATTTATGTTGTAAATACAATGCTACTAGTATCAAGATGGACTTCACCTCAGAGACACGGGCTCAGACACAAGACATAAACTCCATACCTTTTGTGTAATCACCGTGAGCCACCACATTAAGAGGCAGGTGCATCGGCTTGCACCTCTCATACTCCACATTGACATGGTGCCTTACGTCATATTCCTCAAGCAACTGAGTTTCCTCATAGTTGATCTGCCCGACACTCAACCTTTGTGAGTTATCACCAGCAGAATGCGACAAATTCAATGCCCCTCTGCATCGAAGTTTCTCTTCATGATCAATCTTAGTGTAGTAAGCAGCATTATACTGCTCCAATAATTGTGTTTCTAAACAATCTCCATCGTAGTCGCTCTCTAAGGCATCCTCTTCTCCATCCCCACCTGCATACTCTTGCCCTTGCCGCTGCACTTCAAGCTCATCTCTCTCTTCATCCGACTGTTCTTCAAAAACCTCATCTGATTCCTCCTGTTGTTGTCGAGAAAATTGTCGTGAATAGAATTCATTACTTAGAAGCGGTTTTGCTTTCATTCCACCATAGCCTACTGCGCCACATTAGCCATTTCTTAGTGCGCAGCAATCTTGCGGTATGTCTATGGATGTATCAAGAGTCAAAAACAGTTCATGCTCTGAGCCAAGTTTCACGAAAATCAGGAATCCTACATGAATCCGTAAGGTCCATCGACTACGCCAAATACTTCCAGTAGTAAAACTATAGCCATACTTTTGGGGAACATCGTCGCACTTCTTCATATATAATGTTATCTGCTGTAGAAAAAATCTTCTGTAATTGGGTGAAGATTATTTGAGTAAAACTTTCACGGAAATGGTATAGCCCTTCCCTACTTGTGTGACAATTAAGGCAGGCGCAAGGAAGGAAAGAACCTTACCAATAGGCCAAGGATTTAAAGGAAGGAAATGCAAACCTTCCCGGTTGGATACGTGCTGATTAGTCTTGTGAGATGGACTCGGCGACCAGCTCCTTGACCCTCCATCACTTGAATTAAAAGATAAACTACCACTTTCTTCATCTTCCATGACTATCGATTACAGTCAGCATTTCAAGAGCACAATTTTCCACCTAAGGTGTTCTAACGTTTCGATAGAGGCATCAGTAGCTGTATCCTTCCAGTATAATGGTCCAGATTACATCCTGAAATAAAGAAGAATAAACTTGCTTCAGACAAATTCAATACGCAACCACTCTGCAATGTTGCAACAATCCGTTCAGTCGGAGGGAGAGAGAGAGAGAGATGATATGAAACTATCATTCACGAGGAGCACAAATTCTCTGTAACACACATTCTTTTCAGCTCAAAACCTATTGAAATCGCCCAAAAAGATACCTTCAACACCACACACTGAACTGGAGAATGCAATAAAAAGCCATGACCAGAGAAGGTGGTCGGAATAGGGGTTGAAATTACACTACGAACCTAAAAAACTATAAATTCACAATGCATGGGGAATGAACAGCATAAATGTACTAGACGGACGCCATCAGAACTGTGGCTGTGAACAGAGTGTTAGCTGTAAAAAAATTTAAAAAAAACAAAAAAACAAAACAAAACAAAACTTCACAGACTCAAAAGAAGCGAGAATTTCCTAATGCAGAGAAGAAGCAGCCACTCTTGTCAACTCCCCTCTTCCTGGACCTCGAAAAAAAATTCTAGGTGAAGCAACCCAAGAAATGTTTTCAAGCATGTATTAGCATTAGCCCTTCCGATCCTTCTTAAGGAAAATTCAAGTTATACAATCTGCTGGAGATAACGAAGCGGAACCTTCAAGGAATTCAAGATGAAACCCCTAAGGCGGACAATACTCTTGTGCTTCCTAAGAAGCCAGATACCCTCCGCAACCAAAACCCGATCCAGGTTTCCGACGACAACACAGGCAGCAGGGCAAAATAGAAAAATGATGGCCTCAATGACGCTTCTACCTCTCTCCTTTACTCTGGTAACCCTCCACAACCATCTGCACTCGTCTACGCAGCGTTAGTTAATTCCAGTAAAGAAATCCATGAGACAAAAATCGAGAATCTCGAACGATCTTATTGCAAAAGCCCGACACCTAGCGTAGCGCTACGCAGTTGGCAGGAAAGACATCCAATACCTCCATTGAAACAAGCCCTCCGATCGTAAGAGCCAATTACCCAAATCATCTCAAACGAAACCTAAGCTCCTGTCTTCCGCAGGCTAAACGTTTCAAACAACAGCGAGCGCTGAACTTAACCAACGCAGTGCACTACAGTTGTTCCACAGCTATCCGCACTCCCTTGCCACTAAAACAAGCTCTTGAAACAGTAGAAATTAAGAGAACCCACCCCCTAACAAACGCTTACCCTTGTCATCACCCGAAAACCTCCACAAACGTCCACAAATCTCAAAAACACGTCAACTCCTTCAACAAAAAACTCGTGCACTTGTCAACAAGCACTACTCGCTCTCTCTCCCGGCCATGAAAATAGATGGCAAGGGTTACATGGAGCCTGTGCTTGATCATGCTGGCTATGGCGTCGGTCCGCATCAGTGCACTACAACAGGAACCAGGGCTACTCTTCAAGGATCCAGGATTTCTTTTCAATATTGTTAATATAAAAGGGAAATTTCTGCATTACATAAAAAAGCGGCTCACATGCCATACTAAAACACTGCATCACAGTCAATGACGGCTCGCTGAGGTTGGACCCCGCACTCAAGGATGCCCACAATATGCGACCTGAGATCTGCCATCACTATTTGCGGTCTTCCTCCTCTAGACCCATGTTGCTTAGACGTGACGAGGTTTTTTTGCAGGCCATAACCCTTCTGCAACTTGGAGAAAAAAGCTTCGGATTACATAGGTTATTCAACCTAGACTCGACATTTGGCAGTGGCGGTAATAGGGGTCTGCAGAGGTGAGTGGGGATTGGACAGCGTCGGCGACTTGGACGAGCTCTTTCCCTTAGTGGCCTATCTTTATGACCGTTTCTTCCCCATAGCCCACCTTTTTGTCACGTTTAATTGGGATTTGTGGCACCCAGGGGTGTAGGGATCTGTGTAGCAGGATTTGCTGTTCTTGAAGAGGCTGTTTAGTTTCATTGTCGAGATTAGTTGAGTTGTTTGCGATTCTTCTCAGCATTCCGCACTCCGCTATTTTATCCGACCCTTACTGAATTGTGCTGCGGAGGATTTTCTTTCGACGTTTTCCTGCTGGTTGTAACTTTGAGACTGCATTTTATGTGCTTGTTTGGTTACAGTTGCTGTTTCCTTGAAACGTTTTTAGGCTTCATGTTTTCCATATTCGTGATAATTAACAACATTAGTACTCCTCATGGCCTTTCTCTTTCGGAACAATTTGCCCTAGGTTTTGGATGTGGCTATTTGCAAAGCATCCGAATTAATTGTTGTGTAGCGTCTCCGTTTCCGTCCTCAGGAGGAACAAGTTGTCTGCATAGCCTACTTTTACACCAAATAGTCTCTTTCTAGTAGTGAAGTAGTGATGTACGCATTCGTTTTGCGTTTAGGTAAGTTCCAGGTATTATCGTGTTTTTGGTGTTGGGTGCCTAGATTGTCAGAGACGATCTTTAATCTATTGCCTGGTGTCGATGGATAATATATCGTGTGGAAGTTAAGAGGATTTTGTCTCTGACGGAATCAAACCGTAGAAGAAACAGCGTGTTTGCGTATCATACCATGTGAGTAAAATTAGACGTCACCTCCGTAACACAATCCTTGTTGAAGCCATGTTTCTTGTCACAGAAAATAATGCCGCCGTTGAAATGAACATATTTTGTTGGAGGGCAGAACAAACTTCGGCCAAGCCAGGCTCAAATCAGAAGAGCTAAAAAACCTTTTCCATGCAGAATTGGAGAAATGAACAGAATCACTTAAAACACACCATGTAGCGCACATCCGATCTAGTCATTGCATCATGTTCACCAATCGTGGTTTCGAAGAGAACACATACCAACTGTGCACCACATCGAATAGGAAAAACAGTTGGTGTCTATGCAACTTCACTGAGATCACTGCTAGTAGAGTAGCATCCAGCTCCATGCAGCATGCAGTCCGTTGCTTCTCAAGAGATACAATGGAGGACCAGACTCTGCTGCTCACCCTTCCGCTGCAAACATTTCGTAACAGCCTACACTGGAATAGTATGCAAGCAGGTGAGCTTGGTGATAGACCCTTGCTCTCACGTCTATCTTTCAAGCAATTCTCACAAGACATCTAACCTTCTGAATTTGCATTGCAAGCAAGAGGTGAACTGTTACAAAGATAACCTCAATGTAGAACATACCAACGGGTTTCAGAGGCTCAACACCAAATCCTGAATGTAAGCTGCATAGCAAGATATCTGAAAGGACAACTTCCCTGAGATTCCATAATGCCTCTAAATCCAATGAACCCACAGTGACCGACTTAAAACATAAAAGTGTGCAGAGCATTCACACTTGTCAATCTGTAAGGAATAAAAGCGGTGCGACTCCCGGTTGACATGTGACAAAGAGTGGTCAACTAAACACCATAAACTGGGACAGCCACAATGTAGAGAGAAGCGGCAACTGATACAACGCCAGAAAACAAACGTACTAACATCGAGAATTGCACACAAACACACACTAACAATATCAGTTCCAGAACTCTTGCAAGTAATAAATTTCGCAGCATAGGTACAATTCTCTTAATGTGTTTACTCACATCCGTACAAGAGTTTGTTGAACCTCTTCAGTTCTGGCTTCTACATAAAGGATATTAGTACATTGGACCTTCCAGATTGCGAGAAACATGCAACTTGTCTGAGGCCGAGCTGTAATATAATACCCTTTTCTCCAAACTAATGAAACTGTTCACATACCTCATTCGCATACAATTCCTCACATGTGCGCACTAAGTATTGGGTTATGAAAATACTCAAAGTAAACATAAAGTAGGTAAAGACAGCAAGAAAATCTAAACTATTGCAATAGTATCATGTAGCCGAGTCTAGAGTCTGGGGGGTTCCGTTCAACCTCGACAATAGAAGTTGCTACCGCTGCCGAAGCTGGAATACCGAGAGACATCGCCGGAACAATCAAAAGTGCCAATCCTGCCTCCCTTTTAACCTTAACCATTGTTCTATAATGGCAGAGATCTCCAAAAAAAACCTAATAAGTACTAACAATACTCCACTTCATTAGTAGATGTTAATGGTACTTGCTGTCTGAAGCCGCATGTGAAACGAAGCATTCTACAATACACATAATAGTCACCCAGTGCACTGTTTTCTGGATTACTTTGTATAAGCCCAAGGAGTTAATTACAAGTCCAATGATTGATGGCAAATACTAAATTATGGAACCGATTGTAATGGACCACAACTGGTTATCCGGAAAATTTGCAACAGTAGTGAAGCAAAGAAGAATAAGCAGAAATAGCACCTACAGGTAAGATGCCATGAGGTTCCTCAACATGAACTCAATGTCAAGTGCTGCAGTCACCAGACTACGTAAAGCTACTGACAAATGGGTGGTGTCGGCATTCTAGAACATCAGTAATAGTGAAACAGCTAACTCATCATTCTTTCAATAACAGTGAGGAAACATGCAAGTTCAAACAGGAAAATGAATCGACCACTTCGTCGATTAAATAGTAAACACAAAACGACTTGAAAACATCTAAATTAGCGAGAATTAATCATGTCATTTGCCCATTAATCATTTATGGTTACGAGTTCTTGACAGTGGAGATAATCAAGCACAACCATGACTTTGCAAAATGACTCCATGAACAAGGTCATGATTGCCGGAACAAACACAAAAGATTTTGAGACTTGCCTGTAAAACAATTGTTGATAAACAAAACATAAATTTCAACCCTAAACATTTTTGAACTGGAACCAGGCAAGACTTTCCAACATGTTTTCTTCGTTGTGCAACTGAATTGCATAGTACAGATCCTGTTGCTTGCAGACCAGTGTGATCGGGCACTGTTCAAGACAAAGCTGCCAAAAAGCAAAAGATTTCATTCTGAATAATAATTAATATTAAAAGCATTCACCGATTTCAGGATCCAGAAGAGCCCTACATTTTTACCAAACTCTTTTCATTAGCTTTCAAGGATAACAAATGACATTGGAGCGAATTGCCACAAGAAAGTATGCACCAAGCACGATCCAGGACTTCGCAACATCAATATATAGAAGTCAAGCTGATTGCTTTCTATTTGCACTTCATGAGCAGAGTAGGTTATCTTGTTCAACTTTCATATATCACATTTGTTTCTTAAATGAAAAACGAACCTAGTTAAAATCAAACTATCACTTGTTGCAAATATACACAATGGATTGTTTTTCTATTCGACAACAAATCAATTTATTTATTTATAATAAACTCAATTAAAAAACAACCTTTTATTTGAATATGTATGATAAATAAATTATATCTTATTAGGATTATTTGAAGTAAATGCCTTTAGTGGTGTCTTGTAATTTGATTCAGACATACAATTTTGCATCCTTGACATCCATTATTTTTCTAAGTGCTCATCAACTTGCCTTTGAATTTTTAAATGTGGGCTATATCATTGCTTGTAATAATAATGTCATCCATATAGAGCAATACTATGGTATACCATCCATTTCAAATTGTAAAGTACATGTTTAAGTTTTTTTTACTTTTTTGAAGGTTTTGATCTTATAGATAGATGTCTATTTGACCATACTACACTCATGGAGCTTAATATACTCAATACATGGCTTGTCCTAGCTTGCAAACCTTGCTTTGTCTTCTTATTTCTTTGAATCTTAGAAGTAATTTCATATAAACTTATTTTTTAACTTTGTTATTTAAGAATATTTTTTTTATATCTAACTATTATAATTTCTATTTTTTCTAACTTCTAATGCTATGATACTTCTAATTATCAATTATTTGACCACAAATTCAAAGATTCTAAAGAAATTAATACCTTTTTCTTCTTTTTATCTTGAAGCAATAATTATGGCTTTTAATTTTTTAATATTTTTTTAGATCTTGGCTTTTCTTTGAAAATCCACTCTGCTAATATTGAAATTCTTTTCTTCAATAAATCTACTAAAATCTAAGTGTTACTTTTTCATATAGATTATACATCTTATTTCATTGCCTCTTGCCATTTAATATATTAAATTTTTTTCTTCATAGCTCTTTGATTCAATGTATGGTTTTGTTATAAGTATATAGCTATCAAGGACATAAACCTTAAAGAACTAAAATATCAATACACTCTTCTGACACTTGAAAATACTAGAATATCACTCAAGATAATATAGTATTAAACTAGAATGACTATTGTCAAAGACAAGAAGATTAGAAAGTCTTGAAACAAGACTAAGGACTAAAAAGCCACTGACAAGAGTAAAGAAAGATTCATTCTTGTCTCCATATATACTCTTAACTAGGAACTACATAACAATATCCTACATGACTTTTAAAACATGTTGACTTTGTAAGATACGTATCTTAACTTGCAAGTCAAGTTTTTTATATGTATACCATATAGTTAGCTTGTTCTACAAGCTACTAACACGTGATCAATTTATTGACCAAGTTTCTATCTTACAAATCAACTACAAACACATCTAAAGTCAAAGTAGTATCTATGAAGCTTCTAAAAAGTTACTTTAAAAAATATTATAAAATAAATCTATTTTTATCTACTTAATCATATAGATAAATATCATAGTAAATATGTATGTTTGTTACATTATCCTCTCTTTTAAGAATAAGTTCCATGAAGAACAGTCATCATTGTTGAAAAAATCTAGGATGCGACTAATTATGTTTGCCAAGTTCCTTTATAGTGAAGA